GGTGAGATTTTGTTGGTTTCAGCAGGACAAACGGGACCTGATGACATTGTGCTGAGAGGAACACAGAAATCATAAAAGGACAAATATTTAAAAGACAAGAAAATGTAAGTGTGCAGAGAGCATCATTTCTAGGTGGCTGCCAGGGATGCCAGGAAGGTGGGGTCGACGAGCTCCTGGGAGAGAAGATCGCAGTGGGTACGGGCAGTGTTTTGCAATGGCTTGTGGTCCTGCCGGTAAATTGTAGACTTGTCAAAAGTTGAACTGGCAAAAGCTGTGTGGTGGATATATTTACAAATGACAATGACAACAGAGTAGCTGCTGAGGCTGCTCATGTCCAACTAAACTCCTCACAAGATGTGGTTAAGTGATCAAATTCTGTATTTAAGGTTTCTGTCCTGTCTTCTAGTTCACTCTGTAGAGATGGAGGTCTGGAAAGCTTTTGTTTGTTTGTTATGAACTTGTTTGTCACTAACGACTCCAGGTCCATTTCGATTTTACTTTTCCTCCTTTTCTTTTTAAGCCACTCAGACCACTATTTAGATTTGAGGAAGAAGGTAATCAGGAGGGATTTTTGTTTGTTTGTTTCATTTTATTTTTAAAGAAACATACTACACATATTACACAACCCAAGAAATCAAATCAGCAATCTCCTTTCAAACCTTTCATTTTCCTTTTATTTTTGGGGGGGGGGTGTCACTGCATCAACCCACCATCCTGCCTCTCTCCCTATTCCCAGCCTCCCCTTAGTCATCAAAGTCTTGTCTGTGGTGAGTTTGCTAAGCAGAGTCTTCTCTAGTTTCATCTATGTCTTGTGGTATTTAAGAGAGTTGTCAGTGTTTTTATTGATGCATTACATTCCATAAAATGAATGTGCTCAAGCTGGCTATCCATTGCTCTATAATTGGGGTTTGGGATGGCTTCCATTTTTTTGCTACTGTGCTGCAATAAACAGAGGTGTGCATATGTCTTTTCTTGCTATCTTCTTAATTTCTTTAGGGCATATACCCAGTCCAGAGATCGCTGGATCATAAGGGACTTTGTTTGCCTTTGTTTCAGGAAGTGCCATTCGGGTTTCCTTAGTGGTTGTGCAGTCCCACGGTCCCGCCAGCAATGTGCAAGCATTCCTAGCTCTCCGCATCCTCTCCAGCCTTTGTTATGTTCTGTTGTACTGCATTTTGCCAAAAGTGATATCTCATTGCTGTTTACCTTTGTATTTCTCTTATTACTAATGAATGCAAACATGTCTTCATATGATCATTGGCTGCCTGTATGGCATCTTTGGGAAATTGTTTATTCATGTCTTGTGCCATTCTTTGCTTGGGTTATTTGTACTTTTCTTGTTAGGATGTTGTTGTTTTCTATACGTTTTACAGATTAGCCCTTTATCTGATGTATTATTACTGAATGTTTTCCCCCAACCTTTGGGTTCTCTGTTGACTTATTTGATGGAGTCTTTTGTTGTGATAAATGTTATATTTTCAGTAGCTTCCAGTTTTTTACATGGTCTTCTACAGTGTGGATATTTTTTCACCATCTTCAGTGTTGTGTTCTTGTCTTGTATTGGGGTCCTTAAGTTTGTCCCTATTTCTTCTAGGCCTTTGATCCATCTCGAGATCATTTTTGTACATGGTGTGAGGTGTGGGTCAAGACGCGATCTAGAAAACTTCCAAAACAACCATCCAAGACACACACTGAGTCTCTAATCCCCTGAAACAACAGAGGGAAAAGGAGAGTCAAGAACTGGAGGAAGAAAAAAAAAAAGAAGAATTGGAGGAGGAACTGGGATGTGTGGCTAATGGCCTTCATGAACAATAGCCTCCTTTGTCATGAACAATATGTGGCTATCATGAGGTTTTCTACTCCTTAAACAGTCACAGACTCAGAAATCTCCCCTGTCCTGTAGGGGGCCTGGGAGTTGGCATCGACTCAAGGGCAATGAGTTTGGTATTTTGGTGAACATTTTGTTGGAAAATTCCACAGGAAAATCTTGATCAAAAGGGTGAAAACGCAGAACAGAATGTCAAATTCACTTGGACTCCAGACCTTCTGGAACCATGGAGGGTGGATGAACTAAGAACATCTTTAAACCTTAAACCAAAAATGTCCCCTGAAGTCTTCTTAAAAGTAAACAACAGTTTAGCCAGCAAAAAAAAAAAGAAAATCTACCTTCAGTGCTTTGCTCTTTTAAAAACTATCTACATAGTCAGATTGACAACAACTCGAAAGATTAGACAGGGACCTGAGGGGCAGTGAGTTTATGTAAATGAGGGAGGAACAACTCAGAAAAAGAGGGTGGGAATGGCTGCAAACTCGAACAATGTAACCAATATTATGTTCTTTTTAAATTTTATTATTATTTTTTTATATTATGTTCTTACATGTAGAATCACACATGTGGTAATTGTTGAAATGGTGCATATTTTGTTAAAGTCTCAGCAAGAACAAATAAATATTTTTTTAAATTCCAAGACATTATGATAGTACATGCCTTCACTGACGTATCTTTTAAAATATCTTTCCAGAAATATTTTGTAGTTATCAATGAAAGAATTGTGATATTTATTATTTACTAACTTCTTCTTAAATATTTGATCTGTGTACCACTCTAAATTAAATTTTCCCATTTGTCCCTGGTACAGAGAAATACAATTTGTCTTTTATATTTAAATTTGTATCCAGTGATTTTGCTAATTTCATTCATTATCTTGAAGCTTACCTACAGGTTTTTAAATTTATTTATCCTCTACACACTGAACAGGACATAGGTGAACAGTAGTTTATTTCTTCATGTCCTATGTTCACCTTTCCATTTCTTTTTCTTGCCTTGTCGCACGAGGCAGGCCCTCCAGTAGGGTGCTGTGCATACGTGAAGAGCACCACCTATCCTATCATTCTCTGGCAGTCCTAGTGGAGAGAAAGCTCAACATTTCACCAAAGAGCATGATGCTTCCTGTAGCTTTTTGCATGTTTCTTCAGACGATTTTGTTGTCTTGCTTGTTTTTAGAGGCATGTCGGATTAGGAAGTTCCTTTCTGTTTCTAGTTTGCTACTAGAAGGATTTGCATGCTTTCTCCACCTACTGGAAAGGTCTTTCTCTATTAAAGTGGGGGAAACACTGATCGACTTTGGACGGTAAACCAACCTTTAATTTACCCCCAACCAGCACCACAGTCCTCAGGTGCTTTGCAGTTTCTAGTTCAATAACACTAAAACGGTCCTGGACGGAAACTCCTAGACTCACTCCCCGCCACCTATATTCAGGGCCGCCCCTCCACTCCATCCCCCCAACACACACACCTCACCCAAAGGCTAGTTGCCTGTAAGGCCAATCACAGTCTTCTTGCCTGTTAGCAACCAGCCATTTCTTGCGCTTCCTCCTAGAAACGACAACTGGACCCAAACCCAGCCGACCGCAGCGCTGTGACAACTGGATCGACAGAAACAAAGCAGACAGTCCAGACCCTGGCAACCCCCCGGCCTGTGCCCGCGTCGCCACCTCCCACTCTGCCCGAGGCGACTTTAAGAGAGCCCGCTCGGACTGCGGACTGCGTCTCTGGGGCGGGAGGCAGAGGACGCCAAGAATGCCGGGCTCCGACGGCAGCTGGGGGATGACTCTCCGCCGGGGGGACTCCCCCTCCACGCACCCCCAACATCTCCACCCACAGTCGTGCCCCTCGCCCGCCCCTCCTGCCCCGCAAAGCCCCCCCCCACGCCCACCTCCCTCCTCGACGCCCTCCGCCCCTCGCCCGCGCCCCACCCTGGCCGGTGGGCGGCCGTCGGCCCTGGTGGCCGGGGAGCGCAGCGCGCCGGCGCGGCCTCATCCACATGCAGGGGACGGCGCGGCGCGGCGGCCGCCAGGAAAGGACAAAGGCTGTTCCGCCGCCGGCCGCCCCGTGCCAGGCTCGCCCGGCCGGCCGCCCCGGTGGCCCCGATGCGGCCCCCTTGCGTCTGGCCTGCGGGCAGGGCGACCGGGGCCAGCGACTTCCGGGCGGAGGCCGTCTCCCTCGGGCCCAAACTCTCCACCCCCTCCCGCCACCTCCAGGGCCGCAACGCCCCTCTCGGTGTCCTCCCGAAAGTCGGAGCAGGTACCGGGCTGGACTAGGCGGGCCCTGCGCCCAGGACCCGGCCCGCGGAAGCCAGCCTCTGACCTGCGAGCAGCCGCCAGCAGTCCGGCCTGCCCCCTCCCCCCAAGCCAGACGGGGGGGGGGGGGGGGGGGGGGGGGGGGGGGGGGAGCGCAGTCTGCTCCAGAATTCCCACACAGGCCCCTCTGAATGAAGGTCTTCAACCCAGACCTTTGACTGGGGTGCAGAACGTCTCCTGATCCCTGGGCCAGAGGGGTCCCACGCCTCCCCCAGCTGAGCCTCCCGGGGTTCAGGACTCTAAGGAGGATCCGAGACACGTTGGGCCTCAGCCCCGTACCTGCAGAATGGGTCAGCGCCCCGACCCGCCCCGCCCCAGCCCGGCCCTCGGTCTGCGCCAGGATTTACGGAGGTGCTGGCACAGGGTGGGTCCCCAGTACAGGCGGCTGTTGTTCCTTCTGCCAGCTTCCTCGGGGCCAGGGGCAGCCTGTCTTTGAGCTCTTCTCCCCTCCCCACCCCTACTCCTCACCAGCAAATTCATGGAACCGAGCCAGGCGGGCCCCTTCCTCCGCTAACTCCATTGGGAAGTTCTTCCTAAATCTGCCCCAAGTCCTCTTTCTCCTGCCCTGGCCTGGACTGGGTAGTGGGGGAGGAGGGAGGGACAGAGGTGGGGGGGTGTTCCCTTTGAAGGAGGGGGTGGGGAAGGGGGCTGCCCGCCAACCCTCCTTCCGTCCCTCCAGGGGGCCCCAAGCCGCCCAGGGCTGGGGGCCCGGGCCCCGCGCCAGCGCATGCGCCCGCCTGTAGGCGCTGTCGGAGCAGCGAGGTCTGCTCACACCCAGACAGACTAACTGACTGACGGACCGACGGACTGGAGGCCGGCCGGACGACAGGGCAGCACTGGGAGCGGGGACGTGGCAGGACAGCGACATGGCCGGCCACACGCAGCAGCCGAGCGCGCGCGGAAACTCGGTCCGTGCGCCCTCACCCTCCCCCGGCCGGGGGCCAGGCCCCGGCGCCTCGGAGCGGGTGGCGCTCAAGAAGGAGATCGGGCTGGTGAGCGCCTGCACCATCATCATCGGTGAGCGGGGACCGACGTGGCGGCGGCCCGGACCGCGGGGCCAGGTCGGGGGCTGGACGCTTGAGACCACGAGCAAGGGACACGGGCGTCCCTAAGGCGACCCTCCTCTGATCGCGCTCTGACGGTCAAGGCAGGGCCCACCGAGAGCTCACAGGACTCTCTGTGCCCCCACCCACCCACCCCCGCTTCCCAGGCGCCCTGAACTTTTTCTAACCTGGAGAGTAAGGAGCAGGTATCGCTCATCGGATCACCCTCTCCAGACTTAACTTGGTTGCGGGTCTTTGGCAAGCCTTGGTGGCATAGCGGTTCTGAGTTGGGCTGCTTAACCACGAGGTCAGCAGTTCAAGTCTGTGGGATAACCACGTGACTTTCAGAAACCCACAGGGCTTGTTCTACCCTGTCCTACAAGGTCACACGATTGAGATGAGGCTTTCTACTCCTGTAGAGTCCTGGAAATCCACAATTCAGAAACAACTGGGTGGCGGTTGTGCTTTTGAGTTTGGGGCTTTGGCAAGTCAAAAACCCTCAGCTTTTTCTTCTGTGTAACGGAAATATGGTCTGGCCCTTGAAAGCCCGAGCCTTGTGTGGTGGGGCTGTGCAGGCAGGCACCCTGTGCAGGGTCCCCATGTTCTGGACTGTGGCACCCACGGAGCCTCTCTGCATGCTAGGTGTCATGTTCTTTAAAACCCGGAACTGCAGAAGCAGGTTCAGTCTGTCACTACTGCAGTGTGGCAGCAGCATGAGAGGGAGAGGGACCAAGCAGCCAGTGGCTGGGGGACACCAGAGCTGGGGTGGGCAGACCAGGCCTGCCAGAAGGTCAGTGCTCCTGGGCAGGGATCCCGGCCCTCTGACCTTTCACTCTGACCCAGCTTCTCCACCTGTGAATGGATCTGTTTGTCCTGCATGAAGCTCTAGTGGCCAGAGGGCTAGGGGACAGAAAGAAGGGAGGTTGAATTTTTCTCCCTTTCCCAGGTGATAGGAGCTCTGTGGTTTAGTGGGTTTTGCATTGGGCTGCTAACCGCAAGATCAGCAGTTCCAAACCACCAGCTCTATTGGAGAGAGATGAGGCTTCCTACTCAAGGAAAGATTTAAAATCTCGGAAACTCAAGGTGCAATTCTACAATTCCCCATCCTACAGGGTCACTTTGAGTCAGAATTGACAGTGAGTTTGAAGTTTTTTTGGTTGTGGTGGTTGGGGGGTGGGGTCCCAGGTCACAAACATTGACTCCTTGGGAACTAGGCTAAGCTACATCTGTGTTGTGACCCCATCAAGTGCCTCTGTGCCCTTCCTGGAAGGGACTGTTCTGTTCCCTGTGCCCTAGGAGATGGATGACAGGCTTTCACCGGACCAGGCTTCCCCTTCCCCAGCCAGTGGGAGTGCAGCAGCGTCCAAACCGAGACCCTAGGAGATCCTGTCCTTCCCTCACCCGCTACCCCATAGCCACCTCGGGCTCAAGGAGGGGGAGGTGTGGCATGACTAGGCACAGGAGGGTGACTTCACCTACAATGAGTGTAAGACAGTTCCCTCTGGCTGCTGCAAGGAGCCACTAGAGGGGACAAACAAGAGAGAATAGAGCCAGTCAAGATGGGGACCAGGGTGGGCAAATAGTGTTACATTCTTTGCACTGTACTACACCTTTTAGAACACTGCATTGGCAACCTATGTTCCCACCTTGCAAGATGAGGCTCTCTGTACCCATTTTACTGACATAGAAACTGAGGTCTACAATTGAGTGACATTGTGACAATGGTGGGCCTTGGGTTTAGAGCATGGTTTGGACTTGGATCTGAGCCACGTTGCTCTTCATCCTGGTGTTGGGCCAACGGGGACCAGATTCTAAGCTTTCAGGGAGGTTAGGATTGAGCTAGGTTTCCTGAGCCCCACACCCCACTGTGGGCAAACAGGTGGACAGAGGAGTCCCCGGAGGCTGTGCATGCAGGGTCTGTTTCTGACATGGGCATCTTGGCCAACTCACTCCCTCATTTGACACCCAGGGAAGGGACATACTCAGGCCCCAGCAGTGGGGGTTTCCACCTGACTCTGCTCACCAGTTGGCCCTGTCTCACACCTCTCTGCACTTGACTCTAGTGCCCAGTTCATCCAGGGCGTATAGGTCAGGGATCAAGGGGTCTGGGTCATGAGCCCATCTTCTCATGAGCCAATCCTGCTCTGGTCCCCCTGACCAGGGCCTTTGCTGTGGTCTCTAGGACTGGAGGCAGCAGGACTGCTCAAAGGATGAAACCCCTAGAGCCCCTGTCCCTCTGTGCTGTGAGTCCCAGGAGACATAATCCTGTATTAGAGTGCCTCCAAGTCTCACTGTGGCCCCAGTTCACAGATAAGGAAACAGAGGATCCGAAGCTGTATTCTAGGGACCAGGGCCACATCAGCCAAAAGCACTGGACAGGATCATTCTACTTAACCAATATTTGAGCTTATACTGTGTGCCCTGATGGCGTAGTGATAATTCATTGGGATGCTAATCATAAGGTCAGCAGTTCAAATCCACCAGCCGCTCCATGGGGAAAAGATGTGCCTTTCTATTCCCATAAACAGTTACAGTCTGGGAAACCCACAGGGCAGTTCTACCCTGTATTCCAAGGTCACTATGAGTAGAATTGACTTGATGGCAAGGAGTTTGGGTTTTTGAGTTTACTATGTGCACTGTCCTAGGTGCTGAAGACATAAAACCAAACTCACTGCCATTGACTCGATGCCAATTCATCAAGACCTTATAGAACAGAATAGAACTGCCATGTTCCATAAAGCCCTGTAGTTCTCCCTTCAGAACAACTGGTGGTATCCTGATCTTGTGGATCATAGTCCAATACATAACCACTATGGCACCAGGGCTGCTGATGGAGATACAACAGGGATTAAAATGGGAACCTGGAGCATTTTTCGCTGAAGAGGGACAGGATAGGATTGATGAGACTTACATCTGCATGGGCTCATCTGGTGAAGAGGTTGTGGGGACCAGGGCAGCCCAGCCAGGAGGCTTCTACAGTCACCTGGGCAAAAGACGATCAGCCCGATGTCCCCCATAAGTTTGGAAGCTAGAGACCAGGATGGTGGGGGGATGGACTGGATGTGGTCTGGAGAAAGAAGAGTCAAGGTTTTAGCCTGAGCAGCTGGGAGGATGGTTTGCTATGTATTGATTGATTGGGGGATGACTTTGAGAGGGGCAGGTTAGGGGGAAGCCTGTGGAAGCCAAGAACTCAATTCTGAACATGTCAAGTGTGAAATGGTGGCACTGTGGGTTTGGCATTGACGGCAAACCATTGGGTCAGCAGTTCAAACCTACCCACCACTCCACAAGGGAATGGGGTCGTGATGAGAAAGAATTGACTGGGTAGCAGTGAGTAGCTCTGTAGTTTGTTGGAGATAAGGTACCTTGGCGGTACAGTGGTTAAGCGCTCAGCTGTGAAACAGAAGGTTGGTAGTTTGAACCCACCAACTACTCCATAAGAGAAAGAGGAGGCTGTCTGCGTCCTTGAAGATCAATAGCCTGACAAACCTTGTGGGGCAGTTTCCCTCTGTCCTCATGGACCACTGAGGGGGATGGGCCTGACGACAATGGGCTTGGTTGTGGTGGGTGCTGAGTATGCAGGTTGAGTTTAGTGGAAAGGTCTGTAACCAGGTAGGGGTATACATTTGGGGTTGCCAATGTCTGCATAGAATTTAAACCAGGATATTGGGCAAAAGCAGCCAGGGTGCAAGTAAGTATATTAAGCAGTGAGTCCCAGGGCTGAGCCCTGGGTGCCCAGTGCTGAGAAGTCGGGGTGACCATAGCCAGCAAAGGGACCATAGAAGATGTTGCCATGGGGGTAGGAGGGAGGAAACCCAAAAGAGGGGGGATACTGGTAATGAGGTGCCAACTGCTTCCGGTGAGTCACTTAGCAGGAGGTCTGGGGCTGACCGGGGATTCAGCATCAGGGAGCTCACCATGACTTAGATAAGATGCCTCTGGGAGACTGCACTCTGCTGGGGCTGCCCAAGTCTCACCCAAGTCCCAGAAAGCCAGGCAGGCTGAACAACCAGGCAGAGGGGACTCTCCAAGCCTGCTCCCCTCTCACCCAAAGCCCCCCACCCTGGACCTGGCAATGCCCCAGCAATGTCCTGGGCTGATGCCAGAGGGGTAGCTGACATGCCCCCCTCCCCCAGGATGCTCCTGTGTTCAAGGGAACCGGGGGACAGGCTTCACCCAGGTCTCAGAAAGAGGTGACAAGTGCAGGTCTTCAGAGACCAGATGAACGTCCCCAGTGTCTTCTCCCAAGAAGGTGAGGGTAAGAGGGGCCCTCCGCGGCCTCCCAGACTGTGTAACACAGTTACCTCCCATCCCTATGCACTGTGCACCAGCTTTACAAATAAGGCTCAGAAAGCCTGAGGGGCTCACCCAAGGGTGAGGCTCCTGGCCTGAGGGTCTGGGCTTCACTTTAGGTCTGGCAGTTCTCAACTTGTCAGCACCTCTGCCCAGGACCCTCAAAACCTTGGGCCCACTTTCCAGAGGCCTCATGGTCATAAACTAAGCTGGGGGCACAGTGCAAGGGAAGGAGACCCAGCCCAAGGCCAAGCTCTAGCCAGGCCCAGAGTCCCAGGGTCTCTTGCCCTGAGGGTAGTGTGTCCCCTTGGCAGCAGGAAGCCCCACTATGGCCAGGTCTACTGGAACACACCCACAACAGGGCTTGGGCCACATCCCAACAGCCCAGGCACACACTCTCCTCTCTGGGATGCAGGATCCACTGGGGCACAAAAAGGAATTGCCTCCTGTCTGTCCCCTGGAAATGGGCCAGGGGCCATTTTAGCAGCCAGGACAAGACCTCAGGGAGGCAGTGGACTTGGGAGACACTGTCCTCAGAGGAAGGCAAGCAGACCCCGTGCTGTCCATCTCCTTCACAGATGCTTCCCCCAGGCCAGTGACCCCACCTGGCAGATAGGGAAACCGGCCCAGAGAGGCAGCACCAGCCTGGGTTCACACAGCCAGCTCCTAGATGGGGAAGGGGGCATTGCCCAGCAGTGTGACCTCGCAGGACCCTACTGCTCCCTCCCCAAGTCAGCCCCTTCACTACACACACACACACACACACACACACACACACACACACACACACACACGCCAGGCAGGCAGGTGGTGTGTTCACAGACATGACCTCAGTGGTGCACCCTGCGACCTCCCTGTTCTGCGCTGCCTCCCAGAAGTAGGTCAGCGTGCTCAGCAGCCACAGCCTGGGAACAATGGTCCTTTCTTCCTGCCTGCAGAGTCCTGTAAGCCCCATCAGGCCAAACATCTTAAAGTGATCAAAACTGCCCTTAGGCTGAGGGGAGGGCAGGCCACAGGAGATGGCAAGGAGGGCTTCTGGTGGCAGGCACCTATAGCCCCCAACCAGAGCTTCTGCAGAGACCACGGCAGCCCAGGCCTCTGGGTGGAGGGCTGTGGAGCTGGGGATGGGGCTCAGAGATGGTTTCTGTGCTTTCAGACACCTACCTGGACACCCAGCAGTGTCTCCAAGTCTCCCCGCCGCCACCCCCCCCAACCCCCACACACACCCTGTCTGGCTAGAGTCCCTACCATTTCTCTTCCTTCAGAACAGGAGCCCTGAAGGCTAAGTTTGCCCACAGCTGTCCCCGTGGCTGTTTCAGTCCAGAGCAAGAGGTGCCTAAGGGTCTCTGAAGTGCAAGCACTGTTCTCAAACCCCAGTCCTGGGAGCTATTTAAGGAGAGGTCCTGACTCCTGTAGCCAGAGGCCACATGTCCCCTCAATACCGGCCCCTACCCCTAGAGCAGAGTCTACAGCCTCTGGACACAGGTCAGTAATGACCCCAGTGTGGAGGACCACGTGCCAGCTGTGGCTGCCCAGGGACCATGCCCAAAGGATCCCTGCAGGGCTGAACTGTGCCAAGGCCTGGGGTCCCCACAGGGCAGGTGGCGCAGGACCCTGCGTGCTCCCTTCCTCAAGGTGCCCAGATCCTTTCAAGGCCACCCAGCCCCCGCTGGCATCCAACCTCACTGGCGTTTGGCAAATTCTGCTCCGCCAGGTCCTGAGAACAGAGGCTCTGCCCGCTGGTTAGAGCAGCCTCAAAGGCCCTTTAGAAACCCAAGGGCCCACCCAGGCCCTGGCCCCCACCCCCACCCCACCTGAGTTCATGAAGACGTAGCCCCTCTCCTCACAACTGACCTCAGGGTGGGGCGGGAGCGCCTTGCTTCTTATCTGGCTTGTATTTAGGTCTCCTGGGATGTGACCAGAAAACCAAGTGCAGTGCCAAGGCCGTCCAGACAGGAACGCTGTGTTGCCCGGGGTGGGGGCAGGGGTGCATGCAGACTGGTAGCCACTGCAGCTTCCTCATCCAGCCCTGCCCGTGAAGCTGCCATCACCCTGCCCAGACCCCAGCAGCGGGGGGCAATCCTGCTTCAAGGCCTCAGCAGACTTGACTCCTCTGTGTAGTCTATGGGCTTAGGGGTGATTTCCTGTTAGGGCCTAGTACAAACCCCAGGAACACTTCCAAAGGGCCCAGAGCACTCCCTACCCTTTCACCCTGACTGCTAGGAGCTCCTCCCAGGAACCGGCTCTGGAGTCAAGGCACAACAGAGCATTTCTCAGTATGTCAGAGAACAAAGGACATCAGCCCTACCCCCTCCCAGACACCTGGGCCAGCCTGCCACCCTTCAATTCCACTTGTACCTGAGTCTGGGGTGCCTGCCATCCCTCTGTCCCTGGCAGGCCCCTGTAGAGGAAGGCCAGGGAGGGACTGTTGTCCCATACTTCACAGATGAGGAAGTGAGCCCTGCAAGTCACCTCACTGATGCCACGTTGTATGCCACTTACTCATCCTTTAGTCATGTCCCTGGGAGGTGACAACGGCACCTCGATCAACCACTAGCCCAAAGATTGGTGGTTCAAGACTACCCTGAGGTGCCTCAGAAGAAAGACCTGGCAATCAACATCTGAAGAACAAGCATGCCCTTGGCGCCCCCAAGGAGCACAGTTCACACTGACAAACACAGGGTCACCATGAGCCAGAACCAAATCCATTGGTTTGGTAGTTTAATCAACAGATACTTACAGAGCAACTGCTATGTCACTGAGGGAGCCCTAGTGGTACAATGGGTTATGCATTGGACTGCTAACTGCAAGGGCAGCAGTTCAAATCCACCAGCCACTTCTGGGGAGACTGATGAGGCTCTGTGCTCCCATAAAGAGTTTCAGTCTCTGAAGCCCCAAGGAACAGCTCAACCCTACCCTCTAGGGTCTCTCTGAGTGGGAATCGACTTGGCGGCCATCAGGGTGGGACGAGGGAGTGGAGTACTGAGCAGACACTGCACACAGCAACACCTCTGGCGGCTGAGCAGAGAGCTTCATGTATTCCTTTCATCTCCCCCCATGGTTAGGCCATAATGAGGTGGGAGGGTGAGCAGGCAGGAGTCGGTGAGAAGGGGCCCAGCGCCATGTTTCCAGGAGTCTTCCAGGGCTGGGTAAGCCCTGCTTGCAGCCATCTACACCCAGTCAAGCCTTTTCTGCTGACTACCAGCCCCAGCCCTGAAAACTTACCCGTCTTTCTCCCTCATCCTTCTGCCCCTTGCCCAGGACTTGGGACATCTTCATTGTACTAGGAAACAAAGTGGCTTCGAAGCCGGGGTCCGAAACCTGGGCTCTCAGTCAGAGAGGACCCCTGGGGGCCCTAGAAGGAGGGTAAATGCAGAGCAGGCTCAGGGAATACCATGGGGGGGGTGGGCAAGGAGGAGAGGGCCAAACCCAAAGCAGTCCAAGAGGGCTGGACTCCGGCCACTAAGATAGGAGAGACAGGAGAATGGCGTGGCCACTTAGGTTGCACAGATGCTGGGTGCCTAACAGGAGGCTGGGGCAAGGGGCGGAGTCTGGTCAGGCTGGGATGCTCAGGAGTGACCCAGCCACTATTCAGGGGACAGAGCAGGCTCATTGTGCTTGCACTACCCTGTGGGTATGTGGGGGTAGAGTGACTCAGATGGGACCCGTCTCTGGCAGGGAAGCCCGGCTGGATGGATCAGGTACGTGGGGGTGTCTGGAAGATGGTAAACTCACTGTGGGACTTAGTGGGTTTGCATGGGCAATTTGGTGGGTGGGTGGTGGGGCGGGGGAGGGTGGGAGTGGCATCCACACACCTCAAGGCCCACCTCTTCAGGAGTGGCCCAAGCTCCTGAGCATCCAGAGCCCTGACAGAGAAGTCTGGGCTGCCCAGGGGACCCAAGCCTGACGGGTCCCTTTCTCCACCCGCAGGGAACATCATCGGCTCGGGCATCTTCATCTCCCCCAAGGGGGTCTTGGAGCACTCAGGCTCCGTGGGCCTGGCCCTCTTCGTCTGGGTCCTAGGTGGGGGCATCACAGCCCTGGGCTCGCTGTGCTACGCTGAACTGGGAGTCGCCATCCCCAAGTCCGGTGGGGACTACGCTTATGTCACAGAGATCTTCGGGGGCCTGGCTGGGTGAGTGTGGGGCACCAGCTGAGCAGGGGGCAGCTTCTCAAGGATGGGATGACCAGTTGGGCTCTGGGCCTTGGTTTCTGCTGCTGTCTCCCCATCAGAGAGGACCGGTGAAGAGAAGGGCTTGGCAGGCTTCCAGGACCAGGTGATGGCACCAACGCCCACTCCCCCACATGTTCTGCCCCGCTAAGCCCCACTCCCCACCCTGTGCTTCTGGGCCAGAAGGCCCTTACTTCTGGAAATTGCTCACTGCTGCCAGTCTAGGAAGGATGGGACCTTGTTTTTAGTGAAGCCTGTGTGCAGAGAAGGAGCTCCGGTGGTGTAGTGGTCACATATTGGGCTGCAGTCCGAAAGGTGAGCAGTTTGAAACCATCAGCCGCTACTCTGGAAAAAGATGGAGATTTCTACCGCTGCAAAGAGTTAGTCTCAGAAATTCACAGAGGCAGTTCGACCCTGCCCTATAGGGTCATTACATCAGCATCAACTCGATGGCAGTGGCTTGGAGTTTTTTGACAGACTGTAACTGAATTAATCGTTTGTTGGGGGTATATGGCAGGGGAGGTTGGAGGGAAACGGGGAGCTAATAATGACTTGGTGGCAATGAGTTGTGTCATATACGCAGGGGGACATGATATTCCTGTAAGACCCCTGTACAAATTGTCCTTTAAGTAGCCCCCCCCCC